TGGAATATTTTTTGAGCATTTTGTGACCATTTTGGAATATGTGTTGGGATACTTCTTGACCAGTTTGGATTTTTTTTTGTGGATTTTGTACTCTTCGTCGAAAAAACCCCTGTAGGGGGGGGCACGCCCTTTGTGGGCCCCGGAAACGGCAGGGCCGTTTTTTCACCGTTTCCAGAAAAATGTCCCTTGAAAGTGGAAACGGCAAAAAAAAAGGCGACCGGACACGGAACAAAAAAAAACGGCTCCAGAATTGGAACCGGAGCCGGAACCGGTCAAAAAACGGCGACGGAACCGGTGAAAAAGCGGTGTCGGAACCGGCAGAAAAACGGCAAAACGGAACCGGTAACAAAACGGCCCTGTCGTTTCCAGGGCCCACTAATCAAACGACGCGAAGATCGGGACAAAATCGGATCGGGATATCTCGAAATCTCTGAGAATCGGCGGGTTTGGAGGATGTATTGGGCGCCGCGGCCGCTCCAGAGCGTTCCGGAACGCTCTGAGAGCGCTCCGGAACGCTCTGGAGCGATTTATCCCGATCCTAGCCCTGTTTTACGTTTCCAGGGCCCACTAAGGGCACGCCCGACTCAACACCCAGTGCGGCCTCGTGGTGCCGGCGCGGCCGCCCGCAGAGGCCGCCCGCCCGCCCGCCGCCGCGGCTGCCCCTCCGCCGGCGGGGGCGCCCCCGCGGGGGGACGGCCGCGGGCCTCTCTGCCGCGGCCGCGGGGGGCACGCTCGGGTCGGGCGAAAGGGGTCAGAGCCCCGAATCATCAGGGGTAACTCGGGTCAGGGCTAACTCGGGTTCGTTTTTCGGGAGTCCGAACCCGAGTTGCCCTGGACCCGAGTTACCCCGGATAATTCGGGCGCCCAGAGCCCCGAATCATCAGGGGTAACGCGGGTCAGGGCTAACTCGGGTTCGCTTTTCGGGAATCCAAGCCCGAGTTGCCCCGGACCCGAGTTACCCCGGATAACTCGGGCGCCCAAGGAAGAGGGCGCCCCTTGTTCGGGGATGGCCAGGACCCCAGGCAAGGGGACCCGGTTTGTGGTAGTCGGGGAAGAACAAGTTGCAACCCCACAAATATATTGCACCAAATCTATTGCATCACCACAAACCGGGCTCTTATTAAGGGGACCTGGTTTGTGGTAGGACCCTGGAGCCTTCGAACTGGCCAGAATCACTAAACCAGGTCTGCCATAGCTGGTGTTTTTTCGGGTGACGGCAGTTCCAGTTCGTGGAAATGGGACGGGGGGGCGCACCCGGTACAGATCACTAAACCAGGTTCCACTAAACCCAGTTCTGCCAACGCCCCACTTTTGCGCGGCTGCGCGCAGGGTTAAGTCGGGCCTGTCCCTCTAGAGGGGGAATGTTCAGAAGTAGTCAAAAAATAGTCTGGGGACTCGTGTTTGAGTATTTTTTTGACCATTTCGGAGTATTTTGAGGAGTTTTGTTCATTTTTCACCCAAAATCCCCGTGTAGGGGGACACGCCCGACTTAAGCGCAGGGAGGGTGGGGGGGTTGCCCATCGGTCGTTGAAAGTAGGTACTCTTGGATGCCCAGATTCCAATCTACTTGAAGCGCCTTCCTGCTTCAGTGATTGAGTGGCTTCACCCTGTCCGTCCTCCCGCGGGAGCGGACGGACCCCAATCTACTTTCAACGCCTTCCTATTTCATGTTTCTACCAACCTACTTCGTCCGACCGATGGGTTGGTGAGGAGGGGGGAAGGCTTCTTATCGGGACGATCGAAGCGGGTGAGGAAAGAATGGGTACAATGCCCAACACCATTTCTTGTTCCCTTGGAGCAAGACTCGCCGTCCGCGCCGCCGCGGGCGTGGTTCACCGAAGACACGAAGCCGTATGCCCAGCAGCGGCCGCTTTCGGTTTTGGACAGCATTAGTTGTTGGGCATGGTACCCCTGCTTCTCAGAAGCACCCCTGCCTCTTAGAAGGTGCAGGGCCTGTACCTTCTAAGAAGCAGCCTCCTTCCAAAAAGCCCTGCCCTCTTTCCCTACACCCATGTTCGCGCCGCTCAACTCGGGCCGGACAAAAGGGGGGGATAGGGAAAGGGGGGGTTACGACATTTGCTGCATGCAGCTGGTTTCGGCCCTTCCGAGGGGCCCATTCCTCGATACATAGCCACCTCCAGCGCTGGGAGGCGCAGGGAAAATCAGCTACGTGAGCTGATTCTCACCCCCCCCCCTTTGCTATCCCCCCCTTTCGCCCGACCCGATCAACAGAGAACGAACACCCTTGCGGCAGGGGGCCCTAAACAGCTTTGCACAGTTCACGGTGGGGGCGCCACGATGGTCGGAGGAGGAAGAGGTACCCCTACAGCCACCCCTCCCTCGCTTTCCCCTTTCTGGGCCTCCTGGGGGGCCCTCGTCGCCACCGCTGGACTCGCCCCGTAATTCTGGTCAGAACGCGCCCCAGGCGAGGTCTGGGGAGTGGTGGTATGGCTCCCCGTTGTGGGGGGTCCCCACGTCGTGTGGTGACAGACCCGGCGGTGACCTCGAAATCCACAAAGACCTCACCGCAGGGTCGGCCACACCACGGTTTTGGGACCTCGGAGGCCCCAGTCGCCCGAGACTTCTTCGACGAACGACCTAAGTCCCAAAACCATGCGGTGACCCCTCGGCGGCGAGCGAGGGGGGAAGTGAGAAGGAGAAGGCCTTTCAGAAGGCTCGGAGGTCCCCCGGCCTTCTGAGAAGTTTTCGAAGCCTTCCCCGAAGACGCAAAACGCCTCTCGGAAGGCGCGAGGGCTTCTGAGAGGCCCCGCCGCCTTCTGAGAAGGCCTTCTGCCCCCTCTTTCCCCCCCCCCCCCCTCCCTTCGCTCGTCGCCAAGCTCCGACTCCTCACCCACTCACCACACGGTGTGGTCACCACCCCGTCGGTGGGGCCCCCGAAAACTCGGGCCTCCCCGGGCGGGGGGGGGGGGGCGCGACGCGCGGGGGCCCCGGCGGGGGCCGCGACGGGCCGCCGCGTGCTGGGGGGCCCGGGCTCCCTCGCCCGAGCGCGGGGAGCATCCGACTGTCTGGGCCCCCCCAGGTGTTGGGCGCCGCGTAATGGGGGGGTCATAAATGGGGGGGTGTCGCGGGTGGTCCGAAAAGGTACCCAAACGGTACCTAAACGAGCCCCCTGGGGCTCCGGAGAGGCCCGAAAGGGGAACGAAAGGGGACCTTTTTTGACCCCCCCATTTGTGACCCCCCCATTAAGCCACGCCCAAAGGTGGGTGTCGGAGCAGAGGGGGTCGGAGGGATCGCGCCGCGTCGCCGACGCATGGCCGCTGCGGCTCGATGCGGAGCCCGACGTGCTTCACGTCGACGTCGCCGATGCATCGCCGACGTCGACGATGCGTCGGCGGTGCAGATTCCGATGAATCGCCGATGCATCGCCGATGCATCAGCGATGCGGCGCGATTCTCCGACCCCATCTACTCCGACCCCATCTAGGAGGCCTCTATATTGAGAACCCTGTGCCAGTTCTTCTCTTGTAATCGGGGAGAGCCATACTGAGAGGTCTTGCAGACAGGCTGTTTGTAAGGAGCACTGATCTGTGCCAGCCTTTTTTTTGTAATCGGGGAGAGCCATATCGGGAATCCTTGCAGACAGGCTGTTTATAAGGAGCACCGATCTGTGCCAGTCCTTTTTTTTCCCTACCTAGGCTCTGTCTAGAAGGGTTCTTACTCTCTTAGCTTAAAGGGGCGGGCAGTGGAAAGCGCCCCGGGCGGTTCCCCCGGTCCCCGCCCCGCGGGTTCCCCAGGTACGTCCCCTTAGCTTAGCGTTGCTTATCTCATCTTAGCTTAACTTAGCTTAGCTTAGCTTATCTCATCTTAGCTTAGCTTAGCTTAGCTTTAGCTTAGCTTTAGCTTAGCTTTAGCTTAGCTTTAGTTTAGCATTCGCTTAGCTTTCGCTTAGCTTTAGCTTAGCTTTAGCTTAGCTTAGCTTTAGCTTAGCTTTAGCTTAGCTCCAGCTTAACTGTTGCTCAACTTTAGCTTAACTTTAGCTTCGCTTTAGCTTAGCTTTAGCTTAGCTTTAGCTTAGCTTTAGCTTAGCTTTAGCTTAGCTTTAGCTTAGCTTTAGTTTAGCTTTAGCTTAATACTAGCTTAGTTGTAGCTTAGCTTTAGCTTAGTTTTATCTTAGCTTAGCTTCGCTTTAGCTTAGGTTTAGCTCAGCATTCGCTTAGCTTTAGCTTGGCTTTAGCTTAGCTTTAGCTTTAGCTTAGCTTTAGCTTCGCTTTATCGTAGCTTTAGCTTAGCTTTAGCTTAGCTGTAGCTTGGCTTTAGCTGAACTTTAGCTTAGCTTTAGCTTAGCTTTAGCTTACCTGCAGCTTACCTGCAGCTTAGCTTTAGCTTAGCTTTAGCTTAGCTTTGGCTTAGCTTTAGCTTAGCTTTAGCTTAGCTTTAGCTTAGCTTTAGCTTTAGCTTCGCTTTAGCTTAGCTTTAGCTTAGCTTTAGCTTAGCTGTAGCTTAGCTTTAGCTTAGCTTTAGCTTCGCTTTAGCTTCGCTTTAGCTTAGCTTTAGCTTAGCGTTAACTTAGCTTTAGCATTCGCTCAGCTGTAGCGTATCTTTACTGCTGCTACTAATGCTGCTTTCCTAGGGGCTTCAACTTCTAGGTAGGGTCGCACTGGGATTTTTTTTTTGAAATCGGGGATAGCCATCTTGAGAACCCTTGCAGACAGGTCTATTATAAGGTGCACCGATCTGTGCCGGTTCTTTTCTTGTCATCGGGGATAGCGGCGCATGGAAAACCGGGGCAGCGAAGAGTCTACAGTGGGGACGCGCATCAAGAAGCTCTATGTTTCTCGTCAGGGTGCCGCGCGCGTTGCGTAGTGACTTCCCGCGGGCGTTGAGGAATTGCTGCCTTCAGACTGCCTTGAATTTCCCCCGATTGCATCTTGCGCGCGGGATTTCAGGGTTGGTTTTCTTGCGCGGGTATCTTTGCGGCCGCGTCCGCAGTGTTTGCCAAGGCTAGTGGATGCTTCGAGCTCTTCCCCCCCCCGAACCAAGGAGCTCGAGGACGAGTGCTTTATGGAGGGCGAGCACTTTGTTGGCCCGCCGCCGCCGCCTCGCCCGCGTTTCCGCCACAACCACTCGAGCAGCCAGGGAGGGGGCGGAGGAGGATGAGCAGCAGGTTGAATTTAAGGGAGAGGGAGAGAGAGAGAGAGAGAGAGACAGAGAGAGAGAGAGAGAGAGATAGAGAGACAGCGAGAGAAAGAGAGAGAGAGATACTTGTTGAATATTTAGCAGCGGCACATGTTAGCCAGCTTGGACCACAAACAGTGATTTCTGGCAGTCTATGTGGAGCAACATCTGTGGTGCAGTACATGTGGTGTGTGAGCTATGAGGAGTAATATATATATATATGGGGGGCAGCCTATGCGGTGCTTGATACGAGGTGTAAGTTCTTTGGAGCAGTACATGTGGTGCATTCTATGTGTTTTAAGCTATGCGGTGCAGTCCATGTGGTGCAATCTATGCGGTGCACGCTTTGTGGTGCGGTGCAATGTCTGTGATGTAAGCTATGTTTGCCAATCCCTGCGGTGTAATGAATGTACTGCACCATATGCGGTGCAATATTTGTGGTGACATCTTTGTGGCGCAGCGTATCGCAAAGCAAATCAAACCATTACAACACACTGCAAGCCGAAGCAAAGCAGTGCAAAGCGATGCAACGCAGTGCAGAGCAATGCCACGCAATGCACAGCAACGCACAACAGTGCAGCACACGCCATGGCAATGCAATGCCACGTAAAGCACATGGATTTGCACCAGTGCAGTGCAGTGCAACGACGCAGAGCAGTGCACAGCAACGCAGCGCAGTGCAGAGCATCGCAGCTTAGAGCAATGCAATACAGGTCAATGCCGCGCAGTGCCACGCAGTGCAGAGCAGTGTAGAGTAGTGGAAAGTAGTGCGTAGCACTGCGGATCGGCGCTGGCCCCCTCCAGGCGGCGCCTCTTGGCGCCGCCGCCCCTGGCGCGCTCCGCGCGCCCGGGAGGCAGGCCCAGTGCCGATCCAAGAAGTTCGCGCGGACTCTCGAAACTTAGTCTTTCAAAATCGTGTTATGGTTTTTTCTGTACAGGTATCGGAGAGAGAGAGAGAGAGAGAGAGAGAACGAGATAATGAGAGAGAAAAACAACAACAAAAAACAGCAGGGAGGGAGGACGGGAAAGAGAGGGATGCAGAGCGAGGACAACATGCACACACACGTCGACGAAACAGCGAGACGAGGAAGCGCGAGAGGGAGAGCGAGGGGGCGGGCGGGCGGGAGGGTTGCTCCCTTCGCGTAGATTTCTCAACGACCGTGTGCAGCAGCAAGGGTTCTTTATGCCACGGAACGTGAGCGGCGTGCTCGCCAGCTGCTGCCTCGGGAGGCCACGGGGCCCCTTGGTTGTGCAGAGGCCCCGCGCGGCTCGTGCTGACACCTTGGCCCCCCAAGCGGGAGGGGGAGGGGGAGGGGGAGGGGGAGGAGGAGGAGGAGGAGGAGGAGGAGGAGGAGGAGGAGGAGGAGGAGGAGGAGGAGGGGGAAGAGGAGAGGAGGAGGAGGAGGAGGAGGAGAGGAGGAGGAGGAGGAGGAGAAGGAGGAGGAGGAGGAGGAGGAGGAAAAGGGGGAGGAAAGGGAGGAGGAGGAGTTTCCATAGTTTGCCAACGTGGTGCACCGAATGCTTCCCGGTACGCGCAAATTTGCTGCAGTCAGTCGTTCGGTTCGGGGGCGGCAAAGAGGGGGGTGATGACTGGGGGGGGGTGGATATCATGGCGGGGGCCATGATATCTCCCCAGATCTCATGCCGCCCCTCCTTGTTTCATTACGTCCCTGGCCTCCCCGCTGGGCCGCGCACATGCCGCCGGTCATGATGTGCACCCCCCCCTCTTGGACACCCTCCTCTTGGCCGCCCCCCCCAGAGTTCGGTGGCTGTGTGGTTTCAGCGTTGCAATGGCCCAGGGGATCGGAGTGGATCTTTCGGCTGAAGACGTCGAGAGCGAGGCAACGGACGCGGGTACGGCGGCGGCAGCGGTCGGGGCGCGACCCGGCAGGCGCGTGCAACGCAGCCCGTGGGCCGTGCGGGGTTCAGTGAGGGGCAGAGTATGCCACTCTCCTGGAGGGCGACTTCGAAGCTGCGGAGGCAGCTCGAGGGCAGTCATCGGCGGCCTGTACAACGGATGAAGCCGACCGGCGCGTGGGAGATGCTGGCCCAGTTTGACGTGGGCTCGGCTGGGTACTGCCAGCTGCCCCCCGTCCCCGTGAGACCTCGTGGTGCTCCCCACCCTCTGCAAGGATGGCGTCTGCAGCGCGCTGTGCAAGCTCCTCGGGCACGCCAGCGACCTGCCCTTGCAGGTCGCTCTCGTTGCGCCACTCCTCCTCTGGCTGCTGGGGCCGCTCCGTTACATTGCGCCCAACCGCTGTAGCGGCATGCTCTAGGGCTGCCAGGGCGTCACCGTGGTCGCGCCTGCCGCATGCACCACGTGCGCACTCAGCTTGGCGTTCCACTCGTCCGACTCCGCAGCGAAGCCCTCCAGTCCACGCCAAATGGCCTTCATCGTCGTCGGACATAGTGTGTGCGGTTGCTCCCTGTCGCTGCCCAGGCATTGCCCCTGCGCTTGCACGCGCTTGAGCGTCTGGCGTCGAAGTCTGCCTTCGCAGCATGTCCGGTAAGTAAGGCTTCGGGCTGCGCGCGTGCACTTCCCCCAGGTAGTCCGGGCAGGCCTCGGCAGGCGCCCGAGCATCAAGGGGGACCAAGGGCACACAAGTAAATACACTCAAGTAAAAGAATTCCCCATAGTTTCCCATATTTTCTGGGTTTTCGTCTTCCCCCCCACTTCCCAAATTTTCCCATATTTTCTGGGGAATCGACGATTCATTGTGTCTGTGTGTATTTGTCCCTCCTGAGAGTAGTCCCAGCTGGCCTCAAACGGCCCTCCGAGTAGTCCGGGGCGGCCTGAACACCCCGGCGCCGCCTGCGGCGGCGCCCCTGGGGCGCTCCGCCTCCCAGGTCAGGCGTTGAGGCCGCCCTGGACTACCCGGGGGGGCCTGTTGCTGCCAGCTCGGACTACTCTCAGGAGGGAAAAAACACACATACACAGACAATGAGTCGTCGAATCCCCAGAAAATATGGGAACATTTGGGAAGTGGGGGGGAAGACGAACACCCAGAAAATATGGGAAACTATGGGGAATTCTTTTACTTGTGTGTATTTACTTGTGTGCCCTTGGTCCCCCTTGATGCTCGGGCGCCTGCCGAGGCCTGCTGGGGCTACCCGGGGGAACTCTTCTGCGCGCCACCCGGAGACTTCTCGCGCGTGCCCCTGCGTCCTACGCACGGGGCCCCGAAGTTGGTTCGGAGGTTGACAGGCCTCCTACCCTGACATGCTTCGACACTGCTTCGACGCTCTTTCGACACTTCTCGGGGTGCTCGAGATTATGTCTGGGATGTGGCCCTCGAGTGCGATGCTCGAGATCATTTCTGGGATGTGGCCCTCAAGTGCGATGGGAGCAACACAACTCTTGGGGGGGGGGGGGGGGGCTGGGGAGGCCTCCGGCCGCCCGGCCTGGCGGCGGCCCCTCGTGGAGCCACCCCTCGGGGTGCTCGGAGGTGGACTTTTGAGCATTCTCAATTTTGATTATTTTTGGTTATTATTGGATTATAGCATTTTGGGAGTATTTTTTTGTGAGTATTCTTGATTTTTAGCCCCAAATCCCCCTGTAGGGGGACAGGCCCGACCTAAAGTTATCGTCGGGGGTGGACAGACCTCCTACCCTGACGCGTCGATCGAGGCATGGGCCGTGTCCAGCTCGCGATGGGGGCGCCGCGGCCGTCATCTTTGGCGGGTCCGGGTCCGTCGGTCTCGGTCCTATAGGCCGTTTTCATTTCCGGCTCGCGAGGGGGTGTCGCCGCCGTCATCTTTGGCGGGTCTGGGTCCGTCGGCTTCGGTCCCAGAGGCCGCTTTCCCTGAGGGGAGGGTCAAACAGGGCTAGGATCGGGATAAATCGCTCCAGAGCGTTCTGGAGCGCTCTCAGAGCGTTCCGGAACGCTCTGGAGCGGCCGCGGCGCCCCATACATCCTCCAAACCCGCCGATTCTCAGAGATTTCGAGTTATCCCGATCCGATTTTGTCCCGATCTTCGCGTCGTTTTAGGTCTGCGGAGGGGAGGCCTGTCCACCGCCGATGGGTGGGCTCGAGGCTCCAGCGGGCCGCGAGGCCTTGGCGGGCCCGGGGGCCCCGCCCACGGGCGAGGCCTGGGCTCGGCGGCTCCCGTGCGTACAGTGCCGTTTTGAATACATGCTCCGCGTGCGGATCACGTATTAAAAATGCAGGGATATAGTATGAAAAGCAACGATGAATTCATGCATAGATTTATTCATGAATTAATCATGTATTATCGGGGGTGGACAGACCTCCTACCCTGACACGTCGATTAAGGAATTGGCCGTTTTCGGTTCGCGAGAGGGCGTCGCGGCCGTCATTTTTGCAGGTCCAGGTCCGTCGGTTTCGGTCCCGGGCCGTTTTCACTAAGGGGAGGTTTACTAAAGGGACGTTTGTCCAACGCCGATATTAAAAATCAGATATTCTTAAAAATCCGACGATGTATTAAAGTCTGCCCTGTATCTGCCAGGGCCGCCCTGCAGCGGGGCCACCGGGGCGCAGGAGGAGGGGCAGGAGCAGGCTTAGGGCAGGGCTCCGTCGGGCGTGTCCCTCTGCGGGAGGTCTGGGGACGATGTGTTGACCGGTCTTGGCTGCTTTAGCATTTTTCGACCACGTTTGAGTTTTCGTCCAGAGTCCGCCTGCAGGAGGACACGCCCGACCTCAGGGTAGAGGGGAGTTGACGGAGAGTGGGCGAGACTCCGAAGAGAAGAATAGCACGTCCCTTGGTGCGGAGTAAGCCTGAGGCCCGGCCTCGCTTGTCGAGCGCAGACGGCGCCCAGGGGGCGTCCTCCTCCCTCCTCCTCCTCCTCCTCCTCGCCCTCGTCCTCCCCTCCTCCTCCTCCCTCCTCCCTCCTCACCTCCTCCTCCTCTCCTCCTCCTCCTCCCCCTCCTCCTCCTCCCTCCCTCCCTCCTCCTCCTCCTCCCTCCCTCCCTCCTCCTCCTCCTTCCTCCTGGGCCAGCTTTTCTTTCTTCTTGCATCTCTTCTGCACTTTACCAGCGGAGCTGCCCGTCGGGGGGGTGGGGCAGGTGGGGAGCACTGCATTCGGGTCTAACGCCGTCAGCGACGGCGACAGGAGGAGGCTCCGGGGTCAAAGCTTGCTTCTCGCCCTGGAGCTGGCGGAGGGGCCGAGGTGGCCTAGCACTTGCTCCGGCCAGCAGCGGAGAGGGAGGCGAAGGCTCCCTCGGCGCCGCGGCTGGACGCGGCTTCGTCGGTCTTGACCCCGGGAGGGTCTGGGGACCGACGTTGAGCGGATTTCCCGTCGTCTCCCCCCATCACCGAGTTTCTTGGCGACCCATCCAGCGCAGGCCCCTGGTCGTTTTCCAACCCTCTCGGATGCCAGCTGCCACGGGTCGCTGCCTGCCTTCGTGCAGCTTGTCGTTTGCAGGTGCGCTCTTGTTTCGCGTGTTTTGCTCCCTTCTGAGATGATGCATCTCTCGGGAGGTGGTATTCAGCATTGGCGCTGGTATATCCGTGATCGAAAGCACGCCAACTTGAGCATAATCCACTTTTGTCCAGTCTTGCTTAGTCAGGCTTGCGCCCGCCTGATCTGGCTGAACATGGTTGTAATTCATCATGGGAACCTTGTATATCCTCGAAAGTGCGCTAGCGGGTAGCGTGTGCTAGCGTTTGGTAATCGATGAGAAACGCGGATGTAGTGTCGATGAATGTCGACTTAGTGTCGATCAGCGCTGATTAGTATCGACTGGCGTCGATTAGTGTTGATGGACGTCCTTTAGCGCCAGTTCGAGATCATATTGGAATTGGAGGCTCCCATGAGTTGCCGCAAATGTCCCTGAATTGGACCTAGCAGCCCTTCATCGCTCTTATGAAGACCTCCCTGGGCTTGCCTCCTATCCGCGTACAACCTGCATGCACCGTGCCGCGTTGGCGTCTCCCGAGGTGTCGTCGGTCTTCGACTCAGGAAGGGTACGGAGCACAGTCTTTTGGCCCTTGGAAACGACGAACAATGCAGCGTACCGCGTTTGAGCACGGCCTGAAGTTCGGTAGCAAATCATGGGAGGCTCGCATGTCCTCGCAGTTTTTTCTCTGTCTATGCGTTAGCGTCGATTGGCATCTGGTAATCGATGAGTAAGCGCCGGCTCTGCGCCGATTAGCGTCGGGTTAGCTTCGGTTAGCGTCGATTAGGCTCGGTTAGTGTCGATTCGCAAGAGCCAACAAGAAGACATGGGAGGTTCCCACGAGTTGCCACAAATGGCCCCTGCATTGGGCTAAGTAGCACTTATCGTTCTCGCGAAGACCTTTTAGGACTTGCCTCCCAACCCAGTTCCCTCGCTCTCTCCGCTGTCCTCTCCTCCTCCTCCTCCCTCATGCGCTTTGTCTTCCTCCTCCTCCTTGGCTGGTGCCTCGAACGGTGGAGCTCCCTTTCCCTCGGTGGGGAAACTGGCCACTTTCATCACCCGCGCATTCACGGAGAAGAAACCTCCTGTCAGGAGGGGAAACATACACATAGACACAGAGAATCGCCGATCCCCAGGAAAACAGCATGTGAAACCATGGGAGAATGGGGGGGGGAACACGAACGTCCAGAAGATATGTGGAACGGATGTGGAATCCTGGGATCTGTGGCCACTCATCTGTGGGTTCCTGGGCCCCTTCCTTCTGAGGAGGAGGAGGAGGAGGAGGAGGAGAGCGAGAAGCGAGGAGGAGGAGGAGGAGGAGGAGGAGGAGGAGGAGGAGGAGGAGGAGGAGGAGGAGGAGGACCGCCCCGCTCCTCGGCCCCCCCCCCCCCTCGAGGTCTGCTCTTCGACGAGGTCCGGCGCTTCGGGTACCTGACGGCGGCCTGCGAGCGCGTCGCTCTGCAGCTGATCGGGCAGTTCGACGGCAGGCGGAGCGGTGCGGGAAAGTTGCTGCGGGACGAGGGAGGAGGAGGAGGAGGAGGACGACGATGATGACGATGAGGAGGTGGACGAGGGACGGTCATGATGCTGACGGTGATGGTGATGATGATGCTGATGCTGATCATGATGATGATGATGGTGATGATGATGATGGTGATGATGATGATGATGATGATGATGTCGCAGCTGCTGCTGACGCTGATGCTGCTGCTGATGATGATGAGGATGATGAGGATGAGGATGAGGCTGAGGATTATGATGATGCTGCTGCTGATGATGCCGATGATGATGCTGATGCTGATGCTGATGCTGATGCTGATGATGCTGATGCTGATGCTGATGCTGCTGCTGATGATGGTGATGATGAGGCTGATGCTGATGCCTATGCCGAAGGCGATGCTGATGCTGATGCGGATGATGTTGATGCTGATGATGCTGATGATGCTGATGATGCTGCTGCTGATGTTGATGCTGCTGCTGATGATGTTGGTGAGGATGCTGATCATGATGAGGATTCGGATGTCGTTGATGCTTGTGAGGATGAGGATGATGATGCTGATCATGCTGCTGATGATGCTCATGATGATGATGACGAGGATGCTGAGGAGGATGCGAATTAGGATGTTGTTGCTGATGGTGAGGATCAGGATGCGGATGACGATGATGATGTTGATGATGCTGCTGGTGATGATGATGATAAGGATGTTGATGATCATGATACGGTTGCTGCTGCTGATGATGATGATGCTGATGTTCACTGCTGATAACGAGGATGCTGCTGATGATGCTGATGATGCTGATGTTGATGATGCTGAGGATGCGGAGGATGCTGAGGATGATGGTGAGGGTGAGGATGAGGATGAGAATGATGATGACGCTGATGACGATGATGATGCTAATGATGATGCTGATGATGATGATGGTGGTGGTGGTGGTGATGCTGCTGATGGTGATGCTGCTGATGATGATCACGAGGAAGAGAAGGACTGACGATGCCGAAGATCAGGCAGATACTCCGCTGCTCCCCCCTGGAGGAGGAAGAGGAAGATGATGCTGATGATGATGCTGCTGCTAAATATGATGATGCTTATGGTGATGATGCTGATGATGCTGATGATTCTGATGATGATGCTGATGCTGCTGATGACGATGATGATGCTGCTGATGCTGATGTTGAAGCTGATGAGGATGAGGATGATGATGGGGATGATGATGGGGCTGATGACGATGATTCTGCTGATGATGCCGATGCTGCTGATGGTGTTGGTGGTGGTGATGCTGATGCCGACGCGGAGGATGAGGAGGACCGACGACGCCGAAGATCAGGCCGATGCTGCTCTGCCCCCCCCCCTGGAGAAGGACGGGAAAGATGATGATGCGCTGCTGCTAAATATGATGATGATGCTGCTGATGGTGATGTTGATGGTGCTGAGGTTGATGTTGATGATGCTGATGGTGAGGAGGCGGAGGATGCTGAGGATGAGGATGACGATGATGATGCTGATGATGCTGCTGATGGTGATGGTGATGATGCTGAGGATGAGTAGGAGGAGGACCGACAATGTCGAAGATCAGGCAGATACTCCCCTGCTTCCTCCTGGGGGATGATGGTGATGATGCTGATGCTGATGCTGATGCTGATGATGCTGATTCTGATGATGACGATGATGATGATGATGATGTGGCTGCTGCTGCTGATGACGATGCTGATGATGCTGATGTTGAAGATGCAGCTGATGATGCTGATGATGATGAAGCTGATACGTATGATGATGCTGATGATGATGATGATGATGATGCTGATTATGATGCTGATGATGACGATGCTGATGATGCTGATGCTGATGACGACGATGGTGATGATGATGATGATGCTAATGATGCTGCAGCTGCTGCTGCTGCTGCTGATGATGATGATGATGATGATGCTGATGATGATGATGATGCGGATGCTGATGAGGATGATGAGGATGAGGATGATGAGGATGATGCTGAGGATAAGGTAGCGGATAGGGATTAGGATGATGATGCTGATTATCATAATGATGCTGATGGTGATGCAAATGATGCTGATGATGCTGATGATGCTGATGATAATGAGGAGCAGGAGGAGGAGGCGGAGGACCGACGACGCTGAAGATCAGGCAGATACTCCTCTGCTTCCCCCTGGAGGAGGATGAACAGGAGGAATGGACTGATGAACTGCTGATGCTGATGATGATGCTGATGCTGATGCTGATGCTGATGATGCTTCTGATTCTTGATGCTGAGGATACTGCTGATGATGATGCTGCTGATGACGATGATAATGCTTATGCTGATGCTGATGTTGATGATGAGGAGGAAGATGATGCTGCTGATGATGATGATGCTGCTGCTAAATATGATGCTGCTGCTGATGATGCTGATGCTGATGATGATGATGATGGTGGTGGTGCTGATGCTGATGCTGATGCTGATGCTGTTGATGCTGATGATGCTGCTGCTGATGATGCTTATCATGATGATGTTGATGTTGATGCTGCTGATGATGATGCTGATGATGATTATGATGATGATGATGATGATGATGATGATGCTGGTGATGATGATGATGATGATGATGCTGATGATGCTGATGATGCTGATGATGCTGATGATGATGATGATGATGACGACGGTGATGCTGATGAGGAGTCGGAGGAGGAGGAGGAGGAGGAGGCGGAGAGATGAGCAGAGAGACGTAGGAGGAGGCTGCGGATCTATTGGCCCTCGGGTAAGTAGGTAGGTAGGTCGGTAGGTAGGTAGGTAGGTAGGTCGGTAGGAAGCGAGCGAGCGAGCGAGCGAGCGAGCGAGGGAGCGAGGATGATGATGATGATGATGATGATGATGATGATGATGATGATGATGATGATGATGATGATGATGCTGATGATGATGCTGATGATGATGCTGATGCTGATGATGATGATGATGATGATGATGATGATGATGATGATGATGATGATGATGATGATGATGATGAGGATGAGGATGAGGATGATGATGATGATGATGATGCTGATGATGCTGATGATGATGATGATGATGATGATGATGATGATGATGATGATGATGCTGATCGAACAAGAGCAGGCTGCATAAACAGATCGTTCGCAGCTCCGATCCTCTCAATGATGATGGGGACGACGACGTTGACGAGGACGACGAGAATGGTGAGGCCGGCTAGGAACAGCACTTCAGGCTTAAGGAGACAGGGAGAAAGGGGGAACGAGGTTGGCAGGAGGAGGTGTGCCAGCAGGGTGAAGGGGGGATGAAACGCGTTTGTGGGTGATGAGGGTCAGGGTAATGTGAAGGTCGAGTGAAGATACGGATGGGTAATTGCGAGGAGAGGAAGATGTTCGCGGGATCGTGCAGGATGTTGGCGGAGCTGTTAGTGTGCACTTGATTGCGTGCTACTTGGAAGACGGGCATCTTTACCGTGGAGCGTCGAGCATTGCACACGCAGCAGCTTGAACAAGTCGGTTACACAAACCATGAGCATATCCTATGGCACTAATGGTTAATATAACGAATACGATGCTGACGCTGCTGCTGCTGCTGATGTTGATGATGCTGATGCTGATGATGATGATGATGCTGATGATGCTGCTGATTATGTTGATGATGCTGATTATGATGATGATAAGGAGGATGAGGAGGAGGATGACGATGACGAGGCCGATGAGGATGAATCTACTGAGGGTAATGGTGTTGCTGCTGGTGATGCTTGTGGTGGTGGCATGATGATGATGTTGATGATGGTGATGCTGATGATGATGATGATGCTGATGCTGATGCTGATGATGATGATGGTGGCGGTGGTGGTGGTGATGATGATGATGAGGACGATGCTGCTGCTGATGATGATGATGATGAGGACGATGATGATGATGATGATGCTGATGATGCTGATGATGATGATGATGATGATGGATGATGATGATGATGATGATGCTGATGATGATGCTGATGCTGATGCTGATGCTGATGATGCTGATGATGCTGATGATGATGATGATGCTGCTGATGATGATGATGATGCTGATGATGATGATGATGATGATGATGATGATGCTGATGCTGATGATGATGATGCTGCTGCTGATGATGATGATGAGGAGGAGGAGGAGGAGGAGGAGGAGGAGGAGGAGGAGGAGGAGGAAGACCAGCCTTCCGCCACTCCCTCCCTGGGAACCTTTTGGCCGCCTCGGCGGGCGAGGGTCCCTTTGGTTGGAGTGCCGGACGGGACCAGGAGGTTCCCTAGCGGCAGGGGGGAGAGGCTCCTGCGCCATCCCACCTTGGCGAGAGGGGCCGCTGCCCGCACCTTTGACAGCCAGGCCTCACACCGCACCGCTCAGCCAAGGCCGTCGCTCGCCAGTCTTTCCTCCAGGCCTCGCGCCACTGTGCTAGCAGCCACACACTGGCTCACCTGACTCTGTCACCCCCTCTCGTACAGTGGCGGCCCATGCCAAGAAAGACCCTGCTTGCCTCCAGGGCGCCCTGGGTTTTGCATGGGAAGCGTGACGCTCCCGCACCAAACATCGAGGTACGTCCTGGGGTCCAGGGACGGGTTTTCTGTGGAAGGTTTCCTGTGGTCGGGCCCCTACTGTAGGAGGTTCTCTCCCTCTTTCTTCCTGCCCTTGCTCGTCAGTTCTGCCGTGTCGTGCCGCCTCACCTTTCACAGATCTCCCACCAGCCGGCTGCCCCAGGCTTTGCCTGGGGCCGCCTGGCTGGCTAGTTTGCTCACCCGCCCCAAGCATCGACCGCTGCTGGTGGGGGGATGGCCGCTCCTGGCCTCCTGGGGGTGGGGTAGGGGGTAGGAGGAGGAGGAGGAGGAGGAGGAGGAGGAGGAGGAGGAGGAGGAGGAGGAGGGAGGGAGGAGGAGGAGGAGGAAGAGGGCGAGAAGCGAGGGAGGAGGAGGCGGAGGAGGAGCAGGAGGAGGGGAGGAGAGGAGGAGAGGAGGAGGCGGAGGAGGAGGAGGAGGAGGAGGAGGAGGAGGAGGAGGAGGAGGAGGAGGAGGAGAGGAGAAGAGGGCGAGAAGCGAGGGGAGGAGGAGGAGGAGGAGGAGGAGGAGGAGGAGGAGGAGGAGGAGGAGGAGGAGGAGGAGGGGAGGAGGGAGGAGGAGGCGGAGGAGGAGGAGGAGGAGGAGGAGGAGGAGGAGGAGGAGGAGGAGGAGGAGGAGAGAGGAGAGAGAGAGAAAGAGAAGAGGCGGAGGAGGGAGAGGAGGAGGAGGAGGAGAGAAGGAGGAGGAGGAGGAGAGGAGGAGGAGGAGGAGGAGGAGGAGGAGAGGAGGAGGAGGAGGAGGAGGAGGAGGAGGAGGAGGAGAGAGAGAGAGAGAGATAGAGAGAAGAAGAGGAGGAGGAGGAGGAGGAGGAGGAGGAGGAGGAGGAGGAGGGGAGGACGGGTGAAGGCATGAAGCGCGCGGGCGCGCATGGCGCTGCACTCTATATTTTGCACCTGCCGGCCTGCTGCGGCTCCGCGGGACGAGGCCCTCGCGGGCCTGCCCAAGCAAAGCCCACGCCCACTCTCCAGGGACCACGCCTCCCCACCCCACCCTCTCGCGCGCTGGGTGATGGGCCTGTCTTCCACCACCACCACCATAAGTTGGAGGGGGAGGGGGTCCCCCTCCTCCTTCTCCTCCTCCTCCTCCTCCTCCTCCTTTTCGTCCTCCTTCTCGTCCTCCACCTCCTTCCCTCCTCCAACTTATGGTGGTGGTGGTGGAACACAGGCCCTTCCCTGGGGGCCCAGGCTGGCCCTTTCCGTGCCTGGCTGCCCCCGCTGTGCCTCGTCCCCCCAGCTTCGGCCAGGGCCATGTCCTGGACGAACCCGCCTGCGCCCCTGGCATGCACTCATTAAGTCAAAACAGATGCCCAATCCCAAAAACGCGAGGGCCAAGACAAAATGCAGGCTCCTCGAGACTTCGGGGAGGGAGATTTTGGGGTAGAGTTTTACCAGGGCGACGACGACGAGCGCAAATCATACCCCGAAATCTTTGGCCGATCTTCGAATCCTCGGTGAATCCGCGATTTTGGGATTGGGGATGTGTTTTTCCGTGGGCATGCACAGGGCTGTCCAGCTTCCGCTCCCTCCAGCTTCCGCTCGTCGCCTCGCCTCGGCCCTTCGGGGCGACCGACTCCCGAGGGAAAAGAAGACACAGACACAATTATTCGTCGATTCCCCACAAAAGATGGGAAACTATGGGAGGGGGGGGCGGAGACGAAAATCTAGAAAATATGGGAAAATATAGGGAATCCTGGGACTTTGTGTGTATTTATTTGTGTGTCCCTGGGCCCCTCCTCGACACGGGTGCAGAGTGAAGGGGTACAACGACCGACAGCATTTCTCGGCGCTGCCCAACCCCTGGTGGGGGGAGTGCATGAAATTCTTTCCAAACGACAAAGGGGGTTGCCTCGACTGCGTACGGTAGGTTCGTGTCGTGCCGACCAGCGGCGACACCGCCAGCGGCGTTCAACTTTGAACGCCGCGGGCGACCCAGAATCGTTTGATGTGGAACGATTTGGACGTTTCGGAAACGGCCGATCGTTCAAGGTTGAACGATCCCCGCGGTGTCAGAAACCAACGCCGAAGTCGGCACGACGCGAACCTGACGTAGGTGGCGCTGCCGCGCGCGGAGGGAGCCGCTGGCCGCGCATTGCTTTCCATTGATCCCGTGGTAGTTGGGCGCCCTGTTTTGTCATGTCTGCGCGTCGCGTGACATGTTTGTTGTAGTCCCTGGCAGATCGCAGCTTCATTGCTGTGCAAGTGCAAAGCGAGTGTTTCCCCAACACGATTTTGTTCCCGCACGAGCTCCAATTGAGTTCCTCACGAACCCGGGATGAGGCACGAAACGAGGGGCGAAATGCGCCACGCAATGGGGCGTGAATTGATGCACGAAATGAGGCACGACATGTGGCGCGAAATTACTTCAGCTCTGCGCGAGCTCCAGCACGAACTGCGCCACGAAGTGCCGCACGACACTGCCCGCGCGACATTGTTGTGTGAGTGTCTCAGACGCTGTCTGGTCTTTTGGGCGCTTGCATGCCCGGCCAGGCGCTCGCAAGCAAATCCAGGGAATCAATTTTCTTGGGCCTGTACGTGCTGCCACCCTGGGCGACAGCTCTGGCTGCATCTCGTGCGGGCAGTGTCCTTCGGGCAATCTCGCGCGGGCAGTTTCGTGCCCCTGCGGCGTTCTCCTGGCCGCCCATGCTGCTGCCGCTGGCGAGCCGGTCTGTGCTTGCCGCGGCGAAGACGCTGATAGGGCACAGCGCTGCTGACGATGATCGTCGCAGCGGGCGTGGTCCAACTCCCGCACCGTTGGGCGGGCTGCCAGGGGTGTCAATCCCGCCGTGCCGCAAGTAATTGATCACGCGAAATTGCCTGGGGCGCCCAGGTAATTTCGTGGCCCATTTCGTGCCCTATTGTGTCTCCCAGGGGTCATCCTCTGTGACATTTCATTTCGGCCAGGACTCGCTGCCCGTGTCGCCGCGGACGATGCCCACTCGAGACAGCAGGCCCGCCTGCCCAACAGCGGCCTCTGCTTGTTTTGGACCATCTTTGCTCTTGGGCATCGCACCCATCTTTTCCGTACCCCGCTTCGGGCTTCCAAAGCTCTGGGGTGGCGGCCGCTTTCGTGGCAGGGTGCTGCTTCCGGGGCGCGCAGCGCGCTTCTCTCCGAGGCGCTCCCGACGCGCCCCGGGTCGTGCCGCGAAACGCATCCTGGCGTCCCCTCGCCCTGTTGCGGGCCGCCGGGTGTGCAGGGCTCATTTGGATTCTTCCGTTTCGATTCGATGCCATCTCGATCGGATTCCAATTCGGCTTCCCCTCTCTCGATGAATTCCGCCGATTCGACTTCTCCCGACTCGGCTGCCGATCTCCGCCGATCCGATTCATTTCGACCGCCAAAGTGCTGGCCTGCAGCAGCGCAGTTAGCAAAACTTGACCAGCAATGTGATTCCTGGCGGGGATCCAGCAGTCGTAAGGACTGACTGGATCGCATTGAGCTTGGCCAGTGGCCAAAGTTTGAGTAAGGCCGAGGCTGCTAAGAAGGCCAAGGTTCAACAGTTACACACACTGTGTCTCTGAGTAACCGACACAGTCTTCATACTCCAGATTTCGTAATAAAGGGAGGGGGGTCTGATTTCGGGGGGGGGGTCTCTTCCAGGCTATCTTGGAGGGCCTGGGGGGTCTGGGGACGATGTTTTGGAGGGTTCTCCCACGGGGGAGGTCTGAAATGGCTTGTCTCGGAGGGTCCAGACCCCCTCCCTTTTATTACGAAATCTGGAGTACCCGAACTCCGTAACTCAAGCCTTTTCTGCCCTCAGGGGTGCGCCCCTGCGTTCCTGTCTACGCTAGACAGGCGCCAGTCCCACTCTCCCGTTGTGCCGAGTGAGCAGTTCCTATTGTGTGGGAGGGAGGGCGGGAATGGGCATGGCATGCTCTTTCGCTCGAGCGGCCTCCCCTTACTCCTCTTTCCTTTTCCACGTCTCCCGTACTTTCTCCGCAAATATCCCCCTCCCTGTGGTGTATTCCCGTTGCGCCGACGCGCGGGTGACCCCAGCGCGGACGTTTGAGGTTGAACGCTGCCAGCAGTCTGGAATCGTATGATATTTGAAATGGATCATTTTGCATCATCCCCCCAGGGGCACGAAGATAATGGCGCTTCGCGCGTTTCGGCCTGGGACAGAGCTGCCCTGCTCCAGGGAGGTCTCGCACGGGCGAACAGATCACCGCGCGTCGCGCATCGCGGCGCGCGATGCACTAAGTCATGTGCCCTTGATGAACTTTCTCAGCCCCCCCTGCCCGATGTCCCGACCTCACTGGGCCTGATTTCTTGTTGTTGTTGTTGTTGCTGTTGTTGGTGTCGTTGTTGTCGTTGTTGTCGTTGTTGTTGTTGTTTTTGTTGTTGTTGTGGTTGTTGTCGTTGTTGTCCTTGTTGTTGTTGTTGTTGTTGTTGCTGTTATTGACATTGTGGTTGTTGTCATTATTGTTGTCCTTGTTGTTGTTGTTGTTGTTGTTGTTGTTGTTGTTGTTGTTATTATGGTTGTTATTCTGTTCGTTGTTGTTGTTGTTGTTGTTGGTGGTGGTGGTGGTGGTGGTGGTGCTGTTGTTATTATTGTTGTTGCTGTTGTTGTTGTTGCTGCTGTTATTGCTGTTGTTGTTGTCGTTGTTGTTGTCGTTGTTGTTGTTGTTGTTGTTGTAGTTGTTGTTGCCATTGTTGTTGTTGTGGCTGTTGCTGTTGCTGCTGCTGCTGCTGTTGTTGCTGTTGTTGTTGTTGCTGTTGTTGCTGTTGTTGCTGTTGTTGCTGTTGTTCTTGTTGGTGTGGTTGTTGTTGTCGTCGTCCTCGTCGTCGTCGTCGTCGCCGCCATTGTCGTTGTTGCTGTTGGTGTTGTTGGTGTCGTTGTTGTCGTTGCTGTCGTTGTTGTCGTTGTTGTTGTTGTTGTTGTTGTTGCTGCTTTTGTTTGTTTGTCTGCTTGTTTGCCTTCCTCGCCCCCGTTCCGGCCGCCCACCCAGGCGCCTCGAGCGCGCGGGCCCCGGCCGCGCGACCACGGAGTCGGCGCTGGCGCAGATAGTGAAGGTGGAGCGCCTGCCGTGAGAATGGAAGGCCTCCTGATCGAACCGTCCTCGTCTGCCTCGCCCCGGTCCCCGCCCTCACCTTCGTCCCCCCCTCCCTCTTCCGCAGCCCCACCTGCACCTCCACGTCCGCCTGCGCCTTTTCATCCTCGTCCTCATCCTCATCCTCATTCTCATCCTCGTCGCCGCCGCCGTCGTCGTCGTCGTTGTTGTCGCTGCACCTTT